AACCCTGGTTAAGAAACTCCTAGGGAATCATGGTGTGGCCAGTGGTAACGCTTCTGCAACCTTAATTACAGTGACTAACCATTGGCTCTCACTTACCTAAAAATAAAATATAAGCTTTATTCAATACATATCTCTTAAATGACAGGGAATGCCAGACCCTTCCGCGCCTTGGCCCCTTCTGATCTTCCCCACCTCATGCCTTGCAATCCAACTCTCTAGCTTGCATTTTTTACTCTTGGTCTTAAGTTTTTGGTTGTAGTTCTCTCATTTTAATCTTCTTGCCTTTGCTTTTGACCTTTTTTTTCTGTTTAGAATTCTGTTATTTGGCTAAGTATGACTCATAAGATTCAGGGTCGATGTACCTCCTCAAGAAATCTCTTTAAACTTTCTAAGGCAGATGAAGGACCTCTCCTCTTCGCTGCTATAGCGTACTGTACTATATGAATCTGTTGATATTATCTTCCCCATTAGACTATGAGCATTTCAAAGGCAGGAAAGCTCTATATTCCAGGTCCTTAACAGGCATGTGATAAATATTTATGGCCCTCAACTGAGTGAACATCTCTAGCAGTTAAGGGCATGAGAGGAGGTCATAAAACTGATGGACCTGTTGCCAGAAGTCAAAACTCTGTCACAATATACTTAAACACGAGACCTTAGAATACTTGTTTTACTGAAGTTGGAGCACTGCTTTGGACAGTGTTTTAAATTCCTCATGAAAAAGGCAGAAAGAACTATGGGCACTCTCACCACCAAGTGCTATCAAATGAAATCAGTTTGAAGCAGTTTTCATTAAGATGGATTGAATGTGGCATCGTGAGAAACACTTTATCAAATGTAGTGTTTTACTTAGTGATTAACTATATACCAGTTGATGAAGCTCCCCAAATCCTTTGTAATCCCACCACTCCAATAAACATTTAATGAGTATATAAGTTCAAAAAGCCTAGCAGAGGATTTAAACCTTCAATCTTGTTTTTATTTACTCTTGGAACTCAATTTCTCACTTCAAGTGAAGAATGCTGGTGCTTGAGGCTCATCTGTTGCCCTGGTAAAATTAATGTGCCTCCCACAGTTTAAATTAAACATGTGATATTTAAGATGAAAGAAATTTAGTCAGAATGCCACAGTATCGGTCACACTTGCTTTAAAATATGTGAACATCGGCAAACTGCTTTCTTAAAAATGATTCATTCACAAGTTTTAAAAAATAATATTGAAAAAGATTTATTTTAACTTTCAAATGTGAAATCTGAAAAGGAGAAATGACATTTGATCACTGAATCCTGCAGTATAGTAGTTACCACTGAAACCTGAAATACAGTGATAGAGTGTAAATCATACTTAACCTGTGTTAGAACCCTGAGCTCTTATTTGGCCTCTAGTACTTACTACTGATGTGCTTTGGTTAAGTTCTGTTGCATTTCTGAGCTTCCTCATCTATACAATAGGAATATTGATATTACATGTCCCTATCTCACTGGTTTGTTGTGGGGTTCAAATAAGATACATATAGGAAAGATGCTCTATAAACCATACAGCACCATATAAATCTATAGTAGCAGTACTATTTCTATGCGTACACAGTACTCTTTAATTAAAAGGAGATGTGTGTGTGTGTGTGTGTGTGTGTGTAACTAGGCTGATGACCATAATGAATGTATCTGCATAGATTTAAATCTGAAAAATTTATCCATCATGTGGATCAATTTTACTTAAGTTTACAGTAATGTCTTAAACGATGTATAAACTATTGTTCTTTAACCTGGAAAAGAGAAATGAAGAAAGAAAAAGTCTTGGGCAAGGGGAAAAAGATAACAGACAACTTAGCATTCCAAAGAGGTCAAAGGATTTTGGTACGAATCTAATATGAAGCAAAACATTTAATTACATGAACCAATGACTTTCATTTGTTAAAATACCAAGACCCTAGTCAAAAGCAAACAATCAATTATTTCATTAGAAATATCTAGAAGTTAATATGCAAGAGTTTATTCTCCTCTGGGGATCATCAAATGCCAGTTTATTATATAAGACACCTAGCAAAAGTTTCTTTGTCTATTATATACTCTATATTTAAACAAGTGTCTTCATTTAAAGTTAAAATGTTTAAGGTATACACAGTGTATCTTAGGGTAGCTTTTTAAGTGGGATTTAAAAGACATCTATGCTTATTTTGGGAGCTACAGTTTAAGTCACAAAGGCCTTAACATTTTCCGATTACTTCAACTACTTTCAACCATATTTAGGTCCAATAAGTGATTGTTTAAATATAATAATATGGCCATACAATGAGACTCTATAACCATTAGAGTCCTGTTTTAATGAAGTATTCAGTATTATTTACAAAGCATTCTCGCAAAAAAATTTTGACCTGAATATAACAAAGCATGATTTCTTCACTAAGCAAATGTTATGAGGGAAAAAAGAGAGGCAGGAGGAGAGAGTGCTTGTTTAAAGGGATTTAAGAAATCTAACAACCACAGGGTGCTTGGGTGGCTCAGTTAAGTGTCCGACTCTTGATTTAGGCTCAGGTCATGAGCTCAGGGTTGTGAGGTCGAGCCCTGTGACAAGCTCCCCACTCAAAGGGGAGTCTCTTTGAGATTCTCTCTCTCCCTCTGCCCCTACCCACCATGCCCTCTTTCGCTCTCTCTAAAATAAATAAATGAATATTTTAAAAAAATCTAACAACCAAATGTAATTTGTGATCCTTGAGTAGGCTGTGGTTTCAAAAAAATAGTTAAAAAGACATTTTGGACACAGCTGGTAAAGTATGAATATGCACTGGATTTAGGTGATATTAGGGAATTACCGTTAATTTTGTTACATGTGATAATGGTATTGTGATTACGTAGGAGAATATCATTATTTTTTTGGAAAACACATATAGATGTCTTTAGGTGTAAGATATGTAATTTAACAAAAAATATTGAATATAAAAAGGTATCCTAAATATTTTCATGCAGTTTAAGTTTTATTTCAAAAGTTTAACTGCTACAAAGTTAAAAAAAATCATGTGAAACTGTAATTTTTTTTGTGAAACTGTAATTTTTTTTACATTTGTTTTTATATATTTTGAATAATAAATTTTACACTTATTTTCTATTCCTGTCAGTGTTTGCCATTTTCAGAGAGGAGATGAAAAAAAAATTTATCATAAAAAATTTATTCATCAAAATCACAAACCTAAATAAGTATAAAAATGTAAATAATTACATTTCAAATGCTGCTCTTTAATAAATGTGTGGCAGTTAAACTTTTGAAGTTATTAAGGCTTCTATCTCCATTAAAATTTTGGGATGCTTGCATATGAAAGAAACAAACATGGCAAAATTTATTAGTTATTAAATTTAGGGATAGGGGATTTGGGTGTTTACTGTATTATTCTTTTTACTTTTTCTGTATTAAAAATTATTTTAATAAAAAGTTAAAATATTATAAAATATAATTAAGCAAATGACCATGTAATATTAAAAGGTGAAAATAAACTGTTTTAGCAGGATTATAACATGACTCAATAATATTAAGCATACATAAAAGTATTCATCAAAATATATTTAAAGATATGGAAAGAACATGTATCATAAAGTTAACTGTTAATCTGTGTTAGAATATTTTCTTTTTGCTTTACAGTGTTTTCCATAAACCTGTATTTATGGAAACTATGAATGTGTATTATTATAAATATTTATTTCTTCAAAAGTGACATCCATTTTATATAAATTTAATAGTTAAAAAATAGACTACCACAGCATTTATAATGGGCTATTCCACTATTCTTAGTGTAAAGAACAGTCTGTGTTTCTTATTCCACTTCATTAAACCATCATTCCTTGCTCTAAGTTTGATTACTAATTATTGTCAATTTTTAAAATTTGTTTAAAATGAAATTTTCTTTAGGTCAGGGTTTAAGATAAACTGAAGACTAGAAATTTCAGAGGCATCCTTGCGCTCTACTCTCAGAAGTCCTTGCCCTCTTTAATTCCAATAACTTACCCTCTACTCTTATCTACACACTATTTCTTCCTTCCCACTCTCTTTTTTTTCCTTCATTCATTAAATACACAGAATATTTACTAGGGATGGTACAGTCACTGCCAAAGAGAAAATCTAATCTCTTGAGAAGGCATATATACAGAGAATGGATAATGATAAGCAATGTGTTAAATGTAACAGTAAGATGAGCAGAGGGTATCGGTACAAAGTATTAAGGGGTGGATCCAACTGTACAACAGTGGAAGAGTCAGGGACAATTAAGTCTCAGAGGAAGAGTAGAAGTTAACCAGGTAAAGGGCAGAATGAAGGCATTCCTTACAGCAGAGAAGCATGACCAAAGAGTAAGATTATGGGGAAACACAAACGGTACATCACTGCTAGATTTATTAAGTGTAAGGCAAGAAATGGAAAGAGCTAAAGTTGTGCATATAGGTAGGAGCCAGATTACTGAGGTCTCCACTGCTGGGTCAACATATAAACAGAGTGATTGCATAGAAATTTCTTCCTGAAAATGTACCTTCTGAATTCTTGTTATAAATGCCAATCTACTTTACTTTAAGATCACAATGGCCATTTCTATATTTTTGTTGTCTAAAGTAACTTTTAAGATAAAAATATTGCAGTTATTAGATATATACTATTAGATGGAATCATTTTGGGAAAAGACTGAAAGACAGGGCATTTAGAAAGAACCTGTCAATCAATAACTGAAAAGAACATACACATGTAGCCTGGTCCCTTCTAAGCATGGCTATCTTTTTTCCCCCCTACAAAAAACTCCTGTTTCAGAGCTTGACAAGGCCATCTACAAGAGCCAGCAATACCCTATTGTACTATTGCCCCTCTGAAATGGGCATCTTGGTGATGATTAGGCTGGTAGATGAACCACAAACAAAATCAAGTCTTCAATCTGAAAAAAACAGAAAACATTAAGCATTGCCTGAGGCCTGGTGGTAAACCTATGGGATGCATTTTTTAATCACAAAAGGTAAGATTGCACTTACATCTCGGGCTTTCACATAGAAGGCCTCTTGAAAAGCAGCTTCTAATGAGCCAATAAAAAATACAGGATGGCAGTCACCATATCTATAGGAAAAATTATGTCTATTAATATAAATACATTTCAAATTTACTTCAAAGTTTCACAAGTCTAATCAGCATCTTTTAAGTAAATGTTGGGACTAATGTCTCTTAACTACAGACCAAACATTAAAACATTTCTTTAAAGGCTTGGGAATGAGCTTTATTAGTTCTTAGAATTCTTCTTGGCCTACAGTGACAATATTAGAATACTGGAATTTTAAGTACATCTAGCAAATGGATTTAATAAGTGCTACAAAACCATGCCATTTATAAGTAGCAATTCCTGGTTATCCACTTTCATAAGATTTTCCTTATAGTAACCTTAACTTTCCATTTTATTAGTTCATTTATTCTGGAAGTCCAACAGAGAGGGAAAAAACTGTAATCTTGCAAAGTTTCCAAATTATATTACATTAGAAAACAGAACTAAAGAGAAATATCATTTACACAAAAATTTAAAGTTAAATACTTAAATCCTCTTAAACAACTTTTAAGAATCTCAAATGCATAGAAAACATTTTATATTAGCCTCTTAAAAGAAATGTTAATAGTTCCAAAACAAAAATTAAAAGAAAAAATTCACTTACATTTAAAATTTTTATTTTTAATTTAATAATATTTTAAAAGATATTTTGTTTATTCTAGGATATACCAAAAATTAGTATCCTATAACCTAGTCCTTTTGGGAATACAGTCAATATATTAATTAGTGACACCTTTATTTTCCTTCAATAAAGATACAGAGATAAGATGATAAATACATCTCTGAAGTGGCATAAATGGCTTACTAGTTATCTGACATTGAATAGTATGTGTTAAACTATCAGGACTACATAAACTGATAAATGTATCCTTTGAATACTTTACAGAGAAATTAAAGACAATCTATGATTAAAATTGCTCCAGAAAAATCACAGTAGCATTAGAAGAACATCAATTTTATATAGTTAATGTCCTAACCCTACCTTGAAGAAAACTCTGCTGTAAATTGTAATAAGGCATCTCCTTCATTTTCTGCGTTTTCTGGCACTAAAAAACAAACAAAAGAAAAAACAAAAACAAAAAAAACAAAACAAATAGACACAAAAAACAAACCACATAACATCTAATCCCACATATAAGAAATATATTTAATCAATAAAGAGGAAATAAAATTAAATCTTAGCTTTTGTGATATATTTGAGGAGACATTTTAACTTGATATACATTAGAAGACTTCATCAAACCTTAAAAAAGAATCTTGAAAAAATTCCAAGCTCATAAATTTTGGAAAGCCAACTGACACAATCCTGCTAAGCATTTAAAGTATGTGCCAGTCATCAATTAGGATTTCAATGTTTTCTTAAAATGACATCTTGTGAATAAACTACATAAAAAGGATCTCAAGTTATTTCAAAAATCTCATTTATAAGGAAGATGGTCAATTTTAAGTAAATATCACATCTATTTCTGCCCAACGGAGTTCCCTAACTTCACTGAGTAAACGAGCCATTTAAGGATTTTACAGTAATTTTGCATATAATACTGCTTATGATTCTACAGTATGTATCTTCTAAAGTTAAAGAGAAGGAGATGGCACATTTAGTTTACTTTTTTGTCCTGCCAAAGGTGGTACCAGTGAATGGAAAAATAATATTACTATTCTTAAAACTGATATCTCCACTAAGATGCCAGGAAACAAGTACAGTCACAGAAAATATAGCTATTTATCAACCTCTAGGTTTAAAGTAAAGAGAAAGAATCATAACTAATTATATACGTGAAACATTGTACATTCCCTTGCATTTTTAATGAATTTTACTAAAGCACTGGGAATTGTTGAGCTTAATAAAACCAAAACTCAAGAGGATCTGGTTCTAATGAATAATGTGCCTACTTGCTATATTTTCTCTCTCCAAACCTGGAAAGTCATTAAGAGATTTTTAAGTTCATTATTCTTCATAAGTTTCTGTAGTAGGAAGTAGAATTACAGTGCTGGACCCAAAGAGCTATTAATACTCACTCATTGGAGATTTTCTCAGGGCAGATGAGGTCATGCCGAATACTTCTCCATCATCCACCCCAAATTCGGAAGCATCTTCAAAGTCATCTCCATCACTATCACTAACCATATGAACATCCGTGCTTTGCTATTTAAGAAAAGTCCTGATTAGGTTTATATTGACTTTAGGAAATCAAATTCCAAAATATAAGTTATGTAATCAAAATAGGACATTAGTATTACAACGGTTCTATTAAATAAGAAGCCATTTGCTAGAGTAAAGCTTAATATTTTTCATTTTAAGGCTTATATATATTTCTAAACTTGCTGTGATACCCCTAGACTAAAGGCTGGAACCTGAGGGAAAATGGAGGATGCTTACAAACTCAATGAAGACAGGGATTTTGTCTGTTTTATCCCCAGAACACAGTACACAATTAAGTGCTCAATAAATATTTGCTCAATAAATGAGGAGATGGCAATAATCAGGTCAAAGACAAAGCAAGCTATATGAGTCTTTTAAAAAGCTCACAGTAATCTCTATTTCAAACTTGCCATTTCCTTACTGCAATGGTTCTCAAATTTTTCACTAGTGGAAAATGGTACACTATCTTCAGTGTTATTGGAGATAACATGAAATACACTATCTAAAAGCTCTTCATAAAGAGCAGGCTATTAAATATGAGATGTGCTCCTATTCAATAAACATTTATTGAGAACTTACTACATGCTGGGCACTGATAAACATGCTCCGTTTATTTTGTTTTCAGCAACATCAGTTGAGATTTAAAGTATTACAATTAAAAACATCAGATTCAAAATATGAACTGGGCTGCTATCTCTAGGTAAGAATGGAATTTCAAAAATACTGAGATCTAAAACATCCAAACTGTGAATACGGACAAATATTTATGCCTTGGATGGGAAGGGGGTCCCAGCAAGGTACCTGGCTAAATGCCTATCTGTACTATGTTCAATAAATGAAGTCTACAAAGACCATTTAATATATGAAATTTCTATCTTTTAAAATATGGCACTATGTACTTAAGCTATGAAAATGGGGAAACTATTTGATTCTGGTCTATGCAAAAGAGCCTAACTTAGAGATAAATATTTGCCAGAAAAGCATTAAGAGAAACTTAGAATCAAAGACTCATAAAACTTGGCTAGAGGGATGTTAGAGGTTAGCTAGTCATAAAAATTACAGATTTTAAACTAGAAGGGATTTTAAAGATCTTCTTATCAATGGTTTTCAAACTTCTTTTCCCAGGGTTACCTCTCTCCCCTGGCCCCAAGGAAAATATTATGTAAAATTATAGTGCATACAATAGACAAAAGTAAGGCCACTCTGGTTGGTGCAGCGAGAGGACAATGGGGAGTCTAATGCTCCTCTTGGGCTTGGCCTTTTCTTTCTCATATCCCTTTGATAGTTGGGGTACCTCTGAAGGATCTCAGGACACTGTGGAACAATTTTAAAACTACTGATCTAGCAAGTCTAATGGTTCCAAATGAAGAAGCCAAGATATTTACTCCGTCTGACTCAGCTTAGCATTTCCTCCTTGGGCATAACCAAGCTACTAATGCCCAGAATTGTAACATTTTCCCTCTTATTTGAAAGAAAGTCTTCCTAGTGGTTTGAATAGAGAAGATAATGAACAAATACTTATTGGAGGAGTAAAAATGAATGGTCTTTGTCCTAAGCAGTCTATCTGCTATTCTGACTGCACCACTATTTCTCACAGACACCTTGGTTCTACTTACGATCCTAATATTACTTTAGTGTTTTGCTTTGTAGGGCAAAGATCTCCTGATTTCAGCAATTCAACAGCTTAAAAATTCAAAAACCCCTTCTCATTTCAAAGTAGTAAGGGAGCCTCCTCTACAAAACAACACATCTATTAGGACGACTACTGTGCTTGAATTCCCTGTGTTTCAGGCACACAGGTATCTGGAGCATGAAGTTCCCTGAACTTTGAGGCTCAGTTTCTTAAAGAGGTAAAGGTGCAGGATCTAAAAGGTACACTACATACTCTTCTAGGATACTTAGCCAGGTTCACAGGCTAGTGGAAAGAAACAAAAGTCCAGTATGATGAATCTTGTCACATTCTCTATCAGCGAAGCTATCATCTCAGCCTTCACTTAGTCTTGCCTAACACTCACCCTTCCCTTTAAGAGGCATCAGGTTAAGAAGGGTTGGAGGACACAGAGAAGAAAAAGCATTGTTCTACATATCTTTTTTTCTCACTCCTTTTACCTTACTCCCCCACATCTAAACTCCTTCTCCTAATCCAGTTTTCAATCAAATAATAGCCCCTTTTCCATAACAACAGAACTTTATATCATACTAGGATAGTGATTTTAATTTTGTGCCTATGTAACTAACCCATTATTCATTTTGTCTTCATAAAGTGTAGAGTTCCCAAATCTCTTAAGATCCAGAAAACAAAATCCTACAACAACATCTTTAAAGGGAGTTATCTAAAAAGCCAATTTTGTTGAAAAAAGTATATTTCAAATATGAATTATTGAAGTATCTGCAAGAATGAGCTGCTTAATTATGTATAAGGAACTCCCAATCTCTTCACATTTTCTTATCAGCCATCTAACAGGTTAGGAAAAGCTTTTTCTAAAAAATGAGATAAACAATCTTTTTCTCATTAATGTTTGCTGATGAGAATACATAATCCCTTGGTTCAGCCATGGCAGTCCTAAAATTACTCTTTGAATCCAGAGAAGTTATTTACTCAGAATTTGAAAAACAGCTTAAAAAATTCGTGATTCTATTTTGGCTGTTTATCGGCATTCGTTTATTCCCATTATCATTTAACAAACATTTACAAAACCCTAGTAAATGCCACACTGCCTGGACCTGTGTGAAAGATACAGTCTATACTCCCTTAAGGAACACTATATAATATATACAGTTAATTGTAATATTAGTGATAAGTGTTACGACAGGAAAGTTCAGAGGAGAACATTTAATGCATGAGGAATGGGAAAAATCAGAGCAAACTTCCTAGAGGAGAAAGAACCAAAATGTTTGAGACAAAATTTAGACTCATATATACTTGGCACTAAGGCAAGCTTATAACTGAAGTAGATGTTCCTTTCATCAACTACTTATATCAAAGCAACAGGTTAAAAGCTAGGGATACAGAGATAGATAAAACAGGTTCAGGCCTTCAAGAAATTCTAAAGGAAGACATAAAAATATACTTATTTGAATAGTCAAAAGGGAAGGGTCATAAAAATCCAAGGTATTCCTTCATTTGGGACAGTTTCAAAGAATAGCAGGTCCCTCAGTGATTAGAATGAACAGTTTTTGGCTTGGATTGATAGTGATCATTAATATGGGTGAGGAAATAAGTTTCTGGGGAGATGTGGGAAGTTCAATTTTGTACAGAGTGAATCTGCAGTGGGCATTCAGATGGAAATGTTCAGAAGTAACATGATTACTATTTAGCTTGTCTGCCTGTGGTGCAATACCACATACTAATGGTAGGACCATTAGTATGTCCGCTTTGAGCAGACAAGCTAAATACTTGTCTCACCAAGTTTTAAAAATTGAAATACAAATTTTTGGCAATTATCTGTGTTCAATTTCACTTTATTAGGTACAAGATCCTTTATGCAAAGACTTTGCTTTTTTCACAGCCATATTCCTGACATTTAGATTAGTACCAGGCATAGAGGGGCATGTAATCAGAACTTATTGAATGAATACTGAATGAATCTTTTGTCACTTAAACCAAAACCTAGGTATCATTCTTATCGCTTCCTTTTCTCTCCTCCCACAGATCCTATCAGTCACCAGTCCTACTGATCTTCCCTCCAAAAATACTTCCTGAACCCATATCCTTCTCTATTTTTACAGGTTATGTTCTAGTTCAGGATCTCATTATCCTTTAACTGTGCTAGTACAATAGATTCATACCTGATTTCTCTGCCTCCACTCTTGCTTCCCTTGTATCTAGCCTCTGCACAGCAGCAAAGTACTCTTCTCTAAAATGTGTATTTGGGGAAAGAAAATCATTTGTCACTGAAAAGCCGCCTATGGCTGCCCAAAGTTCAAGTTCCCAACTTGACCTGTAAGACCTAGGATCTATTCACCTTCACCTCATCTCTTATCTTTGTTTCCCACTTTATTTTGCACGAACACCAAACTGCTCTCATCTCTGTGCATATACTGCATCAGATCATGCTGTTTCCTTTGAATGAAATACTATTTCCGTATTTCTTCATTTGGCTGACTGTGCCTCATTCTTTATAATTTGATTTGGATATAAATTCCTCTAGTCTTTCTTCATACTCGTTCCTCTTCCCCCTCCTCCTTCTTCTTTTTAAAAAAATACTCACTCACCAACATTTATTTTGTGGCTGGTATGTGCCAGGTACTACACTAGGTGTTTGGGCTACAGAGGTGCATAAGGCAGACAGGGCTTTTGCTTGCAAACATTCTTGAGTGTTATGCCTTCAACCCCCACATTTGTGCCCTAGTATCTTGTGCTTGCTCAATTTTATCATTACATAATATGAAATTACCAGTTTATATTCATCTGACTAGCACACAGTGAGCATTCAACAGATGTTTCCTTAACTGAAGTTATTAACTAATTAGCATCTACTACATTTGAAGTTTTTTGTTGTTGTTGTTTCGTTTGTTTTTTTATTCTTGTGGCACTCCCCTCTCTCTTCCATTATCAACTGAGGACTGGACAATTCTCAAGAAGCCTGGGTCCATGGGTCCCTACCCTGTTCCACCCAGGCAGCTGGAGAAAGGAGAGGAAGGTATTAGCTAGGTACTCAGATATGGAAAGATCATTAAAAGGGGGCTCAGGAGCAAGGGAAGGCTGGGAAGGAAAGAAAAAATGGTGAATTATCATAAAAAAATATAGTTGCAGGACCAGAAGGAGGATGTAAGAAATAAAATTCTCCTAGCTAGAGGACACATAACTATAATCCATAAAATTCAAAGCTTAAATTTAACTACTGGTCTCAAATATCTTCGTCCTAACTCAAGGCTTCAGAGAATCAATAGAAAAACGGTAGTTGTCCTGAAACCTGAAATCATGTAGGAGAAGGGTTAAAAGCAGAAAAAAAAAGAAGCAGAACCACTGGGTAGAAGCTACAAGGACACAGGTTCCAGCTTAATGTAAGGAAGATATCAACAGACAGAGCTGCTCAACAATGGAACTGGTTGCCTTGTTATTGAAGATAAAACATAGGTATATTTTCAGGGGATATTTTGAGTGAGCTCTTTTAGCATACAGACTGTGGTCCTAATGATGGGCACCTAGAAGACATTAAAATGTTTAAAGGGATGAATGGAGAGAAGAGTGGAAATCAAATTTTAAAAATCCCTTCCAGTTGTATAATTCTATGGCAGCATAAAAGCCCGAGTCACACTTGCCCATTTCTCACCAGTTCCCTAAAAAGGTGATATTTATAGTTAGCCAGGGAAAGAAAAATGGTTTCATCACAAATAATCACATTTTAAGATGTTCCCAAGACTGCAGCTCTTTTGGTTTAGCAAAGCCTCCTAATACCATTCTACCTTCTTCTCTAACCTAAAGAGTATGCCAGCCTTTCACAAACACTATTTCTTACTGTATGGCACCGACTTCTTTTTGCTGAAGGGACCACCCAAATTAACACATATAATGGTGAGAGTGAGAGAAGGAAATAAAATGAAGTGAAACAGGTATCTGTCACCTTTTAGAGCACAGAATTAAAAATTTTGGGTGGAGCTAGTTGGCTGCCTTTTAATGTAGATTTATCCATTACAGGGTTGAAGCACAACCTACTTCAGCATTAGAAACACACTCACAGATTAGAAAGAAGTATTCCAATAAATTATTTCTGGGGATTTCTGCCAAGCAGTGAAACTCAGTATCATGTTTTCTTTCATGAGGATTAGTGAGATAAAATGCTGAATAAAATGGTGTGGGTTCTTTAAAGGAAATTAACATTTTTAGAGGCCTAAGAAAACAATATAGTAATATTTGTAGCAGGGGAAAACCCTTTCTTCTTTGTGGATTTCTAAAAAAATGTTAAAAGCCAGAGTTGCAAATTATCATTTCACAGGATGATCATTTTACAGAATGCAACTTATGCATCCCATTTCCCTTTCACATATTTAAGTGATATAAATCATATTCAGAGGATGGCTGCAGAGGTCCTGTGGCAGCTTCCATAATGTGTCCAAAATACAGTCAGTTTAAATAAAAATTCACAACCATATTTTGTATAGAATGTAAATGGAAAAAGGTTTTATTGGACTGAAAAACACTGAGGTAACGTTCTTCTGTGCTATTTAGTTATGACCTCTATCACATACACTTTTTAAGTGATGGTGATGATTTTTCTTTAACACATAATAGGAGCTCAATAAATGTTTTCTAACAGATAAATTGTAATGTCCAAGCTATCTTTCCCATTACCTTTTAATCAAAGTCATAGTTGGACACAAAGTGCTATATGTAGCCTTGGAAAAGATACTGCCTTTTAACATTGTTCAGACCCACAAAGACACACACAGGTACATCCCATACATAAACATGTTCAATCTTACCTGCCCCTCTTCTGTTTCTATAGCACTCTATGTGCTATCACTGCTTTTATTACATTTTGCCGTTATAATTAGTTTATTAATCTATCACCTTTGACTCTGAGCACCTTGGTATAGATATTGTTATTCATCTTTGTTACTTAGTCTCAAGCACAAAACCTCGTTCATAGAAGGTGCTCCAGCTCAGTGAGTTAAAGGACCTTCAGGATCAGTCTTAGTAAATAGTTGGCAATGAAGAAAATCTGTTGTCAACCTGTCAATTCTAAGTAAAACTCATTTCAACCAATCCACCTGAATTCTGTCTGTTGAAACATGAAACTTATAGACCAAGAAGGAGCACATTAACAATAAACTCGCATGAAAAGTTTCTGCCTTCAAGAATTTACTGAGATTTTATTCATGCTACATTAACTTATCTATTCATTGCTGTGGCAGATAAAAAAGAATAGGAAGTGGGCAGGCAGGTGGAAGACAGGCCTCCTATTCACCGAAAAGCTTGGCAAACAGGCTTACCTCTTCGGACTGCTCCCGGGTTTGCGCAGGTGAAGCTCTTCTGCCCACTGTAAGTCGATGGCAGGGATAAGACAGCCCTGATTCAGCAAGACACATCTGCAAAAAGAAGAATGCACCATTCGTAAACAAAATGAGGCCATGTCTCACAAAAGCCCCTTTTGATATTTTCTAGATTGTTTTTATAAAGATTTATTTGAGAGAGAGAGAGCACGCGCACACTCGCACATAAGCAGGGGGAGGGGCAGGAGAAGCAGACACCCCACTGAGCAGGGAGCCAGTCTGATGCAGGGCTCTATCCCAGGACGCTGGGATCATGACCTGAGCCAAACGCAGACACTTAATGGACTAAGCCACCCAGGTGCCCCAATATTTTCTAGATTTCTGAAGTTAGATTAGAAAGCTCACTCTATGCTAATCTGGATGCCTTTTATTTCTTTTTGTGGTCTGATTGCTGAGGCTAGGACTTCAAGCACTATGTTGAACAACAGTGGTAAGAGTGGGCATCCCTCTTGTGTTCCTGATCTTAAGGGAAAAGTGCTCAGCTTCTCCCCAATGATAATGAAATTCACTGTGGGCTTTTCAAAGATGGTTTTAATGATATTGAGAAACGTTCCCTCTATCCCTATACTCTGAAGAGTTTTAATCAGGAATGGATGTTGTATTTTGTCAAATGCTTTTTCTGCATCAATTGAGAGGATCATATGGTTCTTGTCTTTTATTGATGTGCTCTATCACAGTGATTGATTTGCAAATGTTGAACCACACTTGCATCCCAAGTATAAAACCCACTTGGTCGTGGTGAATAATCCTTTTAATGTACTGTTGGATCTCATTAGTTAGGATCTTGTTGAGTATTTTGGCATCCATGTTCATCAGGGATGTTGGTCTGTAATTCTCCTTTTGGGATCAGGGTAATGCTGGCCTCATAGAAGGAGTTTGGAAGCTTTCCTTCTGTTTATATTTTTTGGAACGGCTTCAGTAGAATAGGTATTATTTCTTCTTTAAATGTTTGGTAGAATTCCCCTGGGAAGCCATCTGGCCCTGGACTTTTGTTTTTTGAGAGGTTTTTGATTATTGCTTTAATTTTGTTACTGGTTATTGGTCTATTCAGATTGTCTATTTCTTCCTGTTTCAGTCTTGGTGGTTTGTAAGTTTCCAGGAAGGCATCCATTTCTTCCAGGTTGCTTAATTTGTTGGCATAAGGTTGCTGGTAATGATTTCTAATAATTGTTTCTATTTCCTCGGTGTTAGTCATGATCTCTCCCCTTTCATTCATGATTTTATTAATTTGGGTCCTTTCTCTTTTCTTTTGGATAAGTTTGGCCAGTGGTTTATAGATCTTATTAATTCTTTCAAAGAACCGGTTTCTAGTTTCATTGATCCATTCTACTGTTTTTCTGGTTTCTATTATATTGATCTCTGCTCTAATCTTTATTATAGTAGCCCAGGTATTACATTCCCAGGAAGGCTTTGAAAGTTTGAAATTTTTTCATATATGGCACATTATGATAGTCAAGGCTATTTTTTTGTTTGTTTGTTTAAACAACAGAAATTTATTTTCTCACAGTCCTGGAGGTTGAAAGTCTCAGATCAAGATGTCAGCAGGGTTGGTTTCTTTTTTTTTCTCTAATCTATTTTTTAATTAAGTTCTTTTTTAAAAAAACATTTTATTTATTTGAGAGAAAGCGAGAGCGAGAGAAAACGAGCAGGAGTGGGGGGGGGAGGGGCAAAGGAGAGGGAGAGGCAGACTCCTGAGATCATGACCTGAGCCGAAGGCAGACACTTAACCAACTGAGCCACCCAGGCACCCCTCTTTTATTAAGTTTTAATTTATATTTTTTTCTAGCTAGAAACATTTTATTTAAATGTACCAAATAAAAACCCACATTTTCAGACCACCAGGATGTTAATACATTTAACAAAAATTTATATTATCTTACTGCTGTGAATTTACAGAGTTATAATCCAGATCCATTTTGACTGGATGATTGAAATAACCTTCCTAAGTTATGCTTTACAGACATCACAAATCCCTTAAAATAATGTAAACGAAATAACTCTTCCCTAAAAGGTGAACTTGAGAACTTCACTCTTTCAGGTCTTGCACTTCTTTGTGGACTTCCTGATGGGGAATGACTTCTTTTTGGAGATGGGAGATCCGAACTTTGGCTGCTTCTTAGTAGTGAAACAGACCTGGATATTGACCTTGACCTCGACAGGCATCTTGAACCTTTTATAGAACCAGACCTAGATCTTCTGTGTGAAGCGGATCTTGAAAGAGACACAGATCTTGATGGTTGAGGAGATGCTGATCTTGACCTACATGAGCAAGAGTATCGCCTACCTCTGGATCTTAAATGTGATCTACACTGTGACCTGCTTCTCCTCTGCTGGCTGTAATGATGACAATCATAAGCATAAAGTCCCTTTTCGCCACACTCATAGCATTTATTATTGGGATCAAAGGAACGTTGGGCAGATGGTCTATCAAAACCAGATCTCCAAAGCATGCCTGTTGATAATTCAACTCTCACTCAGGAACCACAAATCACTCTCCCATCCAGAACTCAAACTGCATCTTCTACATGTCTAGGATCTTCAGATTCCACAAAGGCAAATCCTAGAGGATTTTTCACAATCCACACAGTTCTTAAGGAACCATAATAACTGAAAGCCCTTTCTAATTATCCTCTGCTGACATTGGTTCCCAGATTAATAATACACACCTTGGCTTTCTCCTCCATACCACCTCTAAGGTGATATGATGCCTGGCCTGCTTGCAGTGCCCAGGGAGTAATACAAAAGGTGCAACACAGACTCAGTCATCAATGGTCCCGGCAGTCTTAAGTTTTTATTTTAATTCCAGCATAGTCAACATATACAGTGTTGTATTAGTTTTAGGTGTACAACAAAGTGATTCAATAACTCCATACATCACCCAGTGCTTATCACAGTAGGTGCACTCCTTAATCCCCATCACCTATTTCATCCATCCCCCCCATCCACTTCCGATAACCATCAGTTTGTTCTCTATCATTTAGAGTCTGTTTCTTGGTTTGTCTGTTTTTATTTCCTATGCTCATTTGTTTCTTAAATTCCACATGAGTGAAATCATATGGTATGTCTTTCTCTGCCTGACTTATTTCACTTACCATTATACTTTGTAGCTCCATCCATGTTAGTGCAAATGGCAAGATTTCATTCTTTTTTATGGCTGAATAATAGTTCATTGTATATATATGCCACCTCTTTATCCATTCATCAATCTATGGACACTTGGGCTGCTTCCATAATTTGGCTATTGTAAATAATGCTGCTATAAACATTGGGGTGCATGTATCCCTTTGAATTAGTATTTTTGTATTCTTTGGCTAAATACCCAGGAGGGCAATTGCTGGATCCTATGGTAGTTCTATTTTTAACTTTTTGAGGAAACTTCATATTGTTTCCCAGACTGCCTGCACCAGTTTGCATTCCCACCAACAGTGTAAGAGGGTTCCTCTTTCTCCACATCCTCACCAACACTTATTGTTTCTCTGTTTTAGATTTTAGCTATTCTGACAGGTGTGAGATGATATCTCATTGTAGTTTTCATTTCATTTCCCTGATGATGAGTGATGTTAAGCATCTTTTCATGTGTCTGTCGGTGCTTTGCATGTCTTCTTTGGAGAAATGTCTGTTCATGTCTTCTGCTCATTTTTTAATTGGATTATTTGTTTAGGGGGTGTTGAGTTGTTTTAAGTTCTTTATACATTTTGGATGCTAACCTTTTATTGGATATGTCATTTGCAAATATCTTCTCCCCTTCAGGAGGTTGCCTTTTAATTTGGTTGATTGTTTCCTTTATTGTGCAGAAGCTTTTTATTTTGATGTAGTCCCAAAGCTTATTTTTAGTCAAGGCTATTTTTCATAAGATAAAAGACTAGTGCTCCAGGAAACTGTAACAGGCCTAAAATAAAGCTAATCATATATATATATCTATATATATATCTATATATATATATACATATATATCTACATATATATAGATAGATATATCTATCTATATATACATATATATCTACATATATATAGATATATATAACTATCTCCCCACACCCCCACCTACCACCAGTGTGTCTGTTACTTTTCCAATTAGAATAATACTTCAGTTTACTAATTCCCAGGGAAACAGTCTATAAATATTTTTTGGAGGGTACCCTGGAATAGTGTTTGCTGAAGGCATTAAAAAGAAAAGTTTCTACATATGGTAACAGTATCATTTATGTTTTAATCATATTAATCCTCAATATCAGATTGTTATAGCTTAGGAACCTACAATATATGTAAAGCACGTAGCACAGTAACTGGCACACAAACATTCAGTTAACTCAGTTAATTTTTATTACCATTATGATATATTACCTAAAGAATCTGCCTAGTTTAGCCAACACAAAGCCAAATATATTTACTCCTACTGAAGTTTTTAGTAGGTCAGATTTTAAATAACTAATTTGAGGTTTAAATTAAATTTGGGAAAATGTGAGCAAATATGAGTACATGTCACTTTTGTCTATTTAGAGGAATTAAAACAATATTAAATAGCCAAAAGAGGGTGTTTTTCTTTGGTGTTCATGAAATGACACATTTGTGTATTTAATGTAATGATGATATCATGTTTCTTTTATTGTTATTAGAAATAAAACAGAGTCTCCATAGCACACTGAAAACACTTTTGGTAACTTTGGGGGAGGTGTGAATTAAACTGATATGTGAGGAAACCCAAATATCTGTAAATTCATAGAGACCAACCACGGACACAATAGTGGGTTGGTTATAACTACAATTCAAACATGTGTTATAATCAAGCTAATTATGTGAAGACAAATACTGAACGAAAAAGGCAAATGTCACATGAATACACAGGTATTTTCAATCATGTGAGGTGTGTGCTGTCATATAGATTTTACTGATAAAAATCATTTGTATTTGATTATTTTTTCTTTATTCTGGTTAGAGGTTTTTAAATTTTTTTTTTAAATTGGGGTATAACCTTTGCCACTTTAATAATTTTATTTTATTTATGTTTTAAAGTAATCTCTATGTCCAATGTGGGG